TTAAGAAATATTTTTTAATTTAAAAGTTTATTCTATTTTGATATTTATTTAAAATTTACACAAATTTATTATAAAATATTAGCGAAATCAATGAATCATAAAAATTGAAAGTTATAAGCAAGTGTCTTAAATCAAAAAGATTAGTTGTCTTTAAAAAATAATTCTGATTATAAAGAAATCACGAAAAAAACGATGAATAAATATTTAATGTTTGATTAATATTATATAATATTTTGAAAAAATTTTTTAAATCTAAAATATAAACATATATATAGATTTTATTATTGATTTATATTTTTAAATATCATTCATTTCTATTTTTGTAAGTAAATAAATTATTTATAAAAAATAAAAAATAAAATTTACTTAAATTAATTAATTCCTCTTAAGCAACCCTTTAGTTTCTCCAAAAACAATCCAATAATTTGAAACTTTTAGTGTTATATTATTTCTTAATAAATTATATAAATGCCAAGCTTTTATATTCCAGTTATATTTTAGTCTGAAATATTATCCATCAATCATATTTCTATCATTTTTTATTTATCATGATTAAATAAATACCATGATTTAAATAAAACCTCTGGGAGAAATCAAATTTTACTTTTTATTTTAACTTTTGTGGTTATCAACTATAATTCCTTTGATAAAATGACTCAAAGATTAATAACTCATTTATAATTTTAAGGTATATGATTAGAGATTATTGAATTTGAAATAATAATCTAAGTAAATTAATATATTAAATAGAATGTACAAAGTTAATTTTAATAATTTTTAAAAATCTAAACATTATTATTAATTTAAATTATTTTAATAAAAAAATATTTATAAATCTAGTTTTAAAAAAACCATATAAAAAGAACAAGAGAATAATAAGTGTTATGTTTTTATTTCAAATTTGCTTCAATTTTTTTTTTGTTATCTTCAAATATATCTACCTATTCACAGAGACTGAATAAGTATATTTTTCAAATCACTGATTCTAGCATCATTTTTTAATTTTATTTTAAAATTTAATATCAAGAATTATAGCTTAAAATATTATTTTTAACAAATTATTTATTTTTTAATTAATTTCTGAAAAATATGTTTTTAGTAAATTCAATAATTTTTTTAATTTTTAAACAATAAAAATAAATATTCTATCAAATATCATTTTATATATCATAATATAACAAATTTTATTCAATTTAAAAACTCATTCACTATTTTTACATCCATTAAAATTAATTTGCTTCCATAATAATAAATGCCAAGATAAAATCTTAGATCATCAAATTATGTAAGCTTCTCTTTATATTTATCCTCTAATCCTAGCTTATACTCATAATTAGGATAATCTAACACTTCTAAAATTTACTCTTTCAAAAACAATCTTAGTTCTATCATATTCTCTCCACTTGTCTTAAATCCTGCTCCTTTTAATTATTTATCAATACCATAACTTGCACATTTAATTACAGATTGATTCTTTATTTGTAAGTAACAGCTTAAATAATCATGATATCCACTATTTTAATCAGCATTTGAATTTCTCATTAGGCCTATCATAAAATCATTACCTTCATTTAGACTTTCAACTTTTATCCTAAAAATATACTTCTAATCTTTTTATAAATTTGTATTTGATATATAATTCACCCAACTATTATTTAATTTTTCAATTTCATAATAACCATTTTCTTTTTTATTTACAACACAATTTCTCTACCCATCATTCAACTAAGTTGCAAACAATTTTAGATCTAAATTAGGTAAACTTTCCTAATATAAAGCCTTCAATTTGTTATCTTCCAAATTTATATTTCTGATTATATCAAATTTATTTTTGTCAGTAAAAGTATTAGTGAAATTAATCTATTTTAAGAAAGGTTTTACATCAACTAAGAACTTTTCAAACTATTATATGAATTCTTACCTCAAGAAACTCATTTTAGAATCTAAAATTTAAATCATTTATTTGATTTCTAAACTATCCTTTATTTCCTGTTCAAATTATTATTCCCCTCTTGACAAAGTTATTTAATGCTTAACATATTCTTCAATCAAATTTATTTTTTCCTCACTAATCTTATAAAAATCAATTTATTCCTTATTCTCCTTGAAAACTGCTGTGTTGAAAGTAAACTATTTAAGTAGAGGGTTTATTCTTTAAAGACTTTCACTTAGCTTGTTTAAGAATTAGTCAGAGCAAAAGTTTGATTTATTAGAAACAAGCTTCATGATTAAGTCAGATGTTAGTTATAAATCTCCAATTTAATTACTTTGATTTGTAATGTTAGTTTCCAAATCATTTCTAGTGTTATTATGATTTAGACTATTAACTTCAGGAATATCTAAATTGAAGAAAGAAATGTGGTCAATAAATGTAAGTAATTACTATTTAATGATGTTAGGATATTCCATGTTGAAATTTTTTTGCAATTAATTTGCTTAGGTAAGTAGACTTTACAACAGTTCAGTGTTTTTATCTTTTTGAGACTCCATTTGTGATATAAATTCTTTACAGAGAGTTGAATGATCTTGGAGGTTATTTGGTTTTTCGTTGTTAAGAAGCTACTTAAACTAGAGAATGTTTGAAATTTCTTAATATCTTTTGATGATTTACTAAGTATCAATAGGATATTTCAAGGCCTCATTGATCATCTTTTTTTAGATGATATCTATTTTATTTAAAAGCTCTTCTTTAAGTTGATGAAAGAAGTCTGTAATTTGCTTGACATAGTCAAGTGAAGATTAATTTGATGTAAGATCTATGAGATCTGAGATGATTTGGTAGTTATTGACTGGCGGCCATTTTGGGATGATGTTAGTGTCTGCTTCTTAAAAAATCTGGTCGATCATAAGATAGTTGATAGATTTAAAGTGAAGATCATGATTAAAACAGGAAGAGCAGTAAAAGAGTGGTTTAGATGAAGTAGGTTGTGTTAGTACATCATTTACTTAAATAAATTAGAGGTTTTTATTTGGATGCTTATTGCATTTAAGATTTTAGATGGTAATTTTATCCATTTTTCAGATTAGAGTGAAAAAAGATATTTTCTATGTGTTTTTGATTATGTATTTTGATAATTGATTTTAGTTTTGGTTTTTTTTAGAAAGGAAAGATACTTTTTCTAAAATTTTTTAAATTAGGTGTTAAATATTCTAATAAATAATAAAACAGGACTAAATACTTACAGTATTTTACTTCTGTGTTTTATATAATTAAATTAAAATTAGTCACAATAATAGAATATATATTAAAAACTTAATCTAAAATAAAAATATAAACATTTTTTTTGAGAAAAAAAAATTTAAAAAAAATATAAATTTGTTTTAAAAAGCTAGTCTAAAAAATCAATCGCCAGACCTCACTTTTCCTCTTATATTATATATATAATTTAATTCAATTTATAAACTCATTCACTACTTTTACATCCATTAAAATTAATTTGCTTCCTTAATAACAAATGCCAATATAAAATCTTAGATCATCAAATTATGTAAGCTTCTATTTATATTGATCATGTAATCCTAGTTTAAACTCATAATTAGGATAATCTAACACTTCTAAAATCTACTCTTTCAAACACAATCTTAATTCTATCATATCTCCGCTTGTCTTAAATCCTGCTCCCTTTAATTATTTATGAATACCATAAGATCCATTTTTAATTACATATTGATTATATTTCTTTAAGTAACAGCTTAAATAATCATTACATCCTACATTTTAATCAGCATTTGAATTTCTCATTAGACCTATCATAAAATAACCTTCATTTTGACTTACAATTTTTATCCTAAAAATATACTTCTAATCTTTTTATAAATTTGTATTTGATATACAATTCATCCAATCATTATTATTTAATTTTTCAATTTCAATTTCATAATGACCATTTTCTTTTTTATTTACCACACAATATTTCTACCCATTTTAAAATTAAGTTGCATACAATTTTAAATCTAAATTTGGTAAACTTTCCTCATATAAAGCATAATAAAATCTTTTATCTTTCAAATTTCTGAAGAAATCAAATTTATTTTTGTCAGTAAAACTATTAGTAAAATTAATCTATTTTAAGAAAGGTTTTACATCAACTAAGAAATTTTCAAACTATTAAATGAATTCTTACCTCAAGAAACTCATTTTACAATCTACAATTTAAGTCATTTATTTAATTTCATAACTATCCTTTACTTCCTATTCATATTACTATTCCCCTCTTGACAAAGTTATTGAATGCTTTACATATTCTTCTATCAAATTCATTTTTTCTTCGCTAATCTTGGAAAAGTCAATTTATTCTTTATTTTTCTTGAACACTACTGTATTGAAAGTAAACTATTTAATTAGATGATTTAGGCTTTAAAGACTCTCGTTTAGCTTGTCTAAGAATTAGTCAGAGCATAAATTTGATTTATTAGAAACAAGTTTCATGATTAATTCTGATGTTAGTTTTAAATCTCCACTTTAATTATTTTGATTTGTAATGTTAGTTTCCTAATGATCTCTATTGTTATTATGATCTGTACTAGTAACTTCAGAAATATCTAAATTGAAGAAAGAAATTTGTTCAATAAAAGTAAATAATTACTATTTAATGGTGTGAGGATATTCCATGCTGAAATTTGTTTTTAATTAATTTGCTTCGCTTAGTAGAATTTACAACAATTCAGTGTTTTTATCTTTTTGAGACTCCATTTGTGAGATAAATTGTTTGCAGAGAGCTGAATGATCTTGGAGGTTATTATATTATTCGTTGTTAAGAATCTGCTTAAACTGAAGAATGTTTGAAATTTCTTAATATCTTTTGATGACTTGCTATGTATCAATAGGATATTTCAAGGCTTCATTGATCATCTTTTTTTAGATGACATCTATTTTATTTAGAAATTCATCTTTGAATTGATGAAAGAAGTCTGTAATTTGTTTGACATAGTCAAGTGAAGATTAATTGGAAGTAAGATCAATGAGATCTGAGATGATTTGGTAGTTATTAACTGGCGGCCATTTTGGGATTATGTTTGTCTCTGCTTCTTAAAAAATCTGATCGATCATAAGATAGTTGATAGATTTAAAGTGAAGATCATGATTAAAACAGGAAGAGCAGTAAAAGAGAGATTTAATGGAAGTAGGTTGTGTCAGAACATCATTTACTTAAATAAATTGAAGGTTTTTATTTGGATGCTTATAACATTTTAGATTTTAGATGGTAAATTTATCCATTTATAAGATTATATAAAGAAAAGGTATTTTCAATGTATTTATTATTATTTTTTTTTAGATTTATGAGTTGTCTTTGAATTTTATAAATTTAAAAGAAAGGTACTTTTTTGAGAATATTATAAGAAGATTTGAAATATTTTAATATATAATAAATAAGGACAATATATTTTGAGTATTTTGGTTATATCTTATAATGTTGTTTTATTAAAATTAATTGATAATAATAGAATATTCATAGAAACATAATTTAATTTCAAATTATAAATATTTTTAGCAGAAAATATGCTTATTTTTTGGAAAAAAGATTAGATTTAATAAAAAGAATTTTTGGTATTTATTTATTTTATTTTTTTAAGTAAATATATCTATAAAATATTGTATTGTTATTTTATATAAAGTTTAATTCAATTTATAAACTCATTCACTATTTTTACATCCATTAAAATTAATTTGCTTCCTTAATTATAAATGCCAAGATAAAATCTTAGATCATCAAATTATGTAAGCTTCTCTTTATATTTATCCTCTAATCCTAGCTTATACTCATAATTAGGATAATCTAACAATTCTAAAATCTACTCTTTCAAGCACAATCTTAGTTCTATCATATTCTCTCCACTTGTCTTAAATCCTGCTCCCTTTAATTATTTATCAATACCATAACCTCCATGTTTAATTACAGATTGATTATTTTTCTTTAAGTAACAACTTAAATACTCTGAATATCCTAAATTTTAATCAGCATTTGAATTTCTCATAAGACCTATCATAAATCGCTAATCTTCATTTAGACTTTCAACTCTTATCCTAAAAATATACTTCTAATCTTTTTATAAATTTGTATTTGATAAACAATTAATCCAAGCATTATTATTTTATTTTTCAATTTCATAATAACCATTTTCTTTTTTATTTACTGCACAATTTGTCTACCCATTATAAAACTAAGTTGCAAACAATTTTAAATCTAAATTTGGTAAACTTTCTTAAAACAAAGCATTCAATTAGTTATCTTTCAAGTTTCTGAAGAAATCAAATTTATTTTTGTCAGTAAAACTATGAGTGAAATTAATCTATTTTAAGAAAGGTTTTACATCAACTAAGAACTTTTCAAACTATTATATGAATTCTTACCTCAAGAAACTCATTTTAGAATCTAAAATTTAAATCATTTATTTAATTTCTTAACTATCCTTTACTTCCTATTCAAATTATTATTCCCCTCTTGACAAAGTTATTGAATGCTTAACATATTCTTCTATCAAATTTATTTTTTCTTCACTAATCTTGGAAAAGTCAATTTATTCTTTATTCTCTTTGAAAACTACTGTTTTGAAAGTAAACTATTTAAGTAGAGGATTTATTCTTTAAAGACTCTCACTTAACTTGTTTAAGAATTAGTCAGAACAAAAGTTTGATTTATTAGAAACAAGCTTCATGATTAAGTCAGATGTTAGTTTTAAATCTTCAATTTAATTACTTTGATTTATAATGTTAGTTTCCTAATGATTTCTAGTGTTGCTATGATTTTCACTATTAACTTCAGGAATATCTAAATTGAAGAAAGAAATGTGGTCAATAAAAGTAAATAATTACTATTTAATGATCTGAGGATATTCCATGTTGAAATTTGTTTTTAATAAATTTGCTTAGGTAAGTAGACTTTGCAATAATTCAGTGTTTTTATCTTTTTGAGACTCCATTTGTGAGATAAATTCTTTACATAGAGTTGAATGATCTTGGAGGTTATTTGGTTATTCGTTGTTAAGAACCTACTTAAACTAATGAATGTTGGAAATTTCTTAATATCTTTTGATAATTTGCTATGTATCAATAGGATATTTCAAAGCTTCGTTGATCATCTTTTTTTAGACTACATCTATTTTATTTAAAAATTCTTCTTTGAGTTAATGAAAGAAATCTGTAATTTGCTTGACATAGTCAAGTGAAGATTAATTGGAAGTAAGATCAATGAGATCTGAGATGATTTGATAGTTGTTGACTGGTGGCCACTTTGGGATGATATTAGTGTCTGCCTCTTAAAAAATCTGATCTATCATAAGATAGTTGATAGATTTAAAGTGAAGATCGTGATTAAAACAGGAGGAACAGTAAAAGAGAGGTTTAGTGGAAGTAGGTTGTGTTAGGACATCATTTACTTAAATAAATTGAAGATTTTTATTAGGATGCTTCTTACATTTTAGATTTTAGATTGTAATTTTATCCATTTAAAAGATTAGAGAGAGGAAAGATATTTTCTTGTATTTATATATTTTTTTGAGATTTAATGTGAGTTTTGTTTGAATTTTAGAAATTAAAAAGAAAGATACTTATTTGAGTACATAAAAAGAAGATATTAATATTCTAATAGATAATAAATAAGGACTATATTTTTCGAATTTTGGTTATATCTAATAATGTTGTTTGATTAGAATTAATTGATAATAATAGATTATTCATAGACATAGACATATTATTTATTTCAAATTATAAATATTTTTTTGAATAAAAAAATTAATTTTTCATAAAATATTAAATAAAAGGCCTTTCTTTTTAATAAAATCACAGGTAGATCTGTTAGATAAATTCTGACAAATTAAAATAAAAAAAGCAAGAAGGCTACTTAGCTTTCAAATTTTAAATAAAATCTTATTGAAATTCCGCTGACATTATGTATGTATCCAGTCAGCGGAATTTCAATACCTGGATTTGCAATATATAATTTAATTCAATTTATAAACTCATTCACTATTTTTACATCCATTAAAATTAATTTGCTTCCTTAATTACGAATGCCAAGAAAAAATCTTAGATCATCAAATTATGTTAGTTTCTGTTTATATTAATCCTTTAATCCTAGCTTATACTCATAATTAGGATAATCTAACACTTCTAAAATCTACTCTTTCAAACACAATCTTAGTTCTATCATATTCTCTCCACTTGTCTTAAATACTGCTCCCTTTAATTATTTATCAATACCATAACCTCCATATTTAATTACAGATTGATTATTTTTCTATAAGTGACAACTTAAATACTCTGAATATCCATAAGTTTAATCAGCATTTGAATTTCTCATTAGACCTATCAAAAAAGTATAACCTTCATTTAGACTTTCAACTTTTATCCTAAAAATATACTTCTAATCTTTTTATAAATTTGTATTTGATATACAATTCACCCAACTACTATTATTTAATAATACAATTTCATAATAACCATTTTCTTTTTTATTTACTGCACAATTTGTCTACCCATTATTAAACTAAGTTGCAAACAATTTTAGATCTAAATTCGGTAAACTTTCCTCAAATAAAGCATTCCATTTGTAATCTTTCAAATTTCTGAAGAAATCAAATTTATTTTTGTCAGTAAAACAATTAGTGAAGTTAATTTATTTTAAGAAAGGTTTTACATCAACTAAGAACTTCTCAAACTATTATATGAATTCTTACTTCAAGAAACTCATTTTAGAATCTACAATTTAAGTCATTTATTTTATTTCTAAACTATCCTTTACTTCCTATTCATATTACTATTCCCCTCTTGACAAAGCTATTGAATGCTTAACATATTCTTCTATCAAATTTATTTTTTCCTCGCTAATCTTGGAAAAGTCAATTTATACTTTATTCTCTTTGAAAACTGCTGTGTTGAAAGTAAACTATTTAAGTAGAGGATTTATTCTTTAAAGACTCTCACTTAACTTGTTTAAGAATTAGTCAGAGCAAAAGTTTGATTTATTAGAAACAAGCTTCATGATTAAGTCAGATGTTAGTCTTAAATCTTCAATTTAATTACTTTGATTTATAATGTTAGTTTCCTAATGATTTCTAGTGTTGCTATGATTTTCACTATTAACTTCAGGAATATCTAAATTGAAGAAAGAAATGTGGTCAATAAAAGTAAATAATTACTATTTAATGATCTGAGGATATTCCATGTTGAAATTTGTTTTTAATAAATTTGCTTAGGTAAGTAGACTTTGCAATAATTCAGTGTTTTTATCTTTTTGAGACTCCATTTGTGAGATAAATTCTTTACATAGAGTTGAATGATCTTGGAGGTTATTTGGTTATTCGTTGTTAAGAACCTACTTAAACTAATGAATGTTGGAAATTTCTTAATATCTTTTGATAATTTGCTATGTATCAATAGGATATTTCAAAGCTTCGTTGATCATCTTTTTTTAGACTACATCTATTTTATTTAAAAATTCTTCTTTGAGTTAATGAAAGAAATCTGTAATTTGCTTGACATAGTCAAGTGAAGATTAATTGGAAGTAAGATCAATGAGATCTGAGATGATTTGATAGTTGTTGACTGGTGGCCACTTTGGGATGATATTAGTGTCTGCCTCTTAAAAAATCTGATCTATCATAAGATAGTTGATAGATTTAAAGTGAAGATCGTGATTAAAACAGGAGGAACAGTAAAAGAGAGGTTTAGTGGAAGTAGGTTGTGTTAGGATATCATTTACTTAAATAAATTGAAGATTTTTATTAGGATGCTTCTTGCATTTTAGATTTTAGATTGTAATTTTATCCATTTATAAGATTAGAGAGAGGAAAGATATTTTCTATGTATTTATATTTTTTTTGAGATTTAATGTGAGTTTTGTTTGAATTTTAGAAATTAAAAAGAAAGATACTTTTTGAGTACATAAAAAGAAGATATTAATATTCTAATAGATAATAAATAAGGACTATATTTTTCAGAATATTGGTTATATCTAATAATGTTGTTTGATTAAAATTAATTGATAAAAATAGATTATTCATAGACATAGACATATAATTTATTTCAAATTATAAATATTTTTAAGAAAAAATATGCTTATTTTTTTGAATAAAGTTAAAATTTATTAGAAAGAATAATTTTATTAAAAAATAAAAAATTATTTTGGTTTTAAAAATTAAATAAAAATTTTTTTTTATTTTTAAAAAAGAAAAATAAATATTTCTACCACTATCATAATAAAAAAAAATTTAATTCAATTTATAAACTCATTCACTATTTTTACATCCATTAAAATTAATTTGCTTCCTTAATTATGAATTCCAAGATAAAATCTTAGATCATCAAATTAATGAAGTTTATTTTTGTATATATCCTCTAATCCTAGCTTATACTCATAATTAGGATAATCTAACACTTCTAAAATATACTTTTTCAAACACAATCTAAGTTCTATTATATTCTCTTCACTTGTCTAAAATCCTGCTCCCTTTAATTATTTATCAATACCAAATCTTCCACATTTAAATACAGATTGATTAATTTTCTATAAATAACAACTTAAATACTCTAAATATCCTAACATTTAATCAGCAATTGAATTTCTCACTAGACCTATCATAAAAACTTGATTCTCATTTAGATTTTCAACTTTTATCCTAAATATATACTTCTTATCTTATTATAAATTTGTATTTGATATACAATTCACCCAACCATCAGTATTTAATTTTTCAATTTCATAATAACCATTTTCTTTTTTATTTACCACACAATTTGTCTACCCATCGCTCCACTAAGTTGCTAACAATTTTAGATCTAAATTTGGTAAACTTTCCTCATAAAAAGCGTTCCATTTGTTATCTTTCAAATTTCTAAAGAAATCAAATTTATTTTTGTCAGTAAAACTATTAGTGAAGTTAATTTATTTTAAGAAAGGTTTTACATCAACTAAGAACTTTTCAAACTATTATATGAATTCTTACCTCAAGAAACTCATTTTAGAATCTACAATTTAAGTCATTTATTTAATTTCTTAACTATCCTTTACTTCCTTTTAAAATTATTATTCCCCTCTTGACAAAGCTATTTAATGCTTAACATATTCTTCTATCAAATTTATTTTTTCCTCGCTAATCTTGGAAAAGTCAATTTATTCTTTATTGTCCTTGAAAACTGCTGTGTTGAAACTAAACTATTTAAGTAGAGGGTTTATTCTTTAAAGACTCTCACTTAACTTGTTTAAGAATTAGTCAGAGCAAAAATTTGATTTATTAGAAACAAGCTTCATGATTAAGTCAGATGTTAGTTTTAAATCTTCAATTTAATTACTTTGATTTATAATGTTAGCTTCCTAATGGTTTGTAGTGATATAATGATTTGTACTACTAACTTCAGGAATATCTAAATTGAAGAAATAAATTTGGTCAATAAAAGTAAATAATTACTATTTAATGGCGTGAGGATATTCTATGTTGAAATTTTTTTGCAATTAATTTGTTTAGGTAAGTAGACTTTACAACAATTCAGTATTTTTATCTTTTTGAGACTCCATTTGTGAGATAAATTCTTTACATAAAGTTGAATTATCTTGGAGGTTATTTGGTTATTCGTTGTTAAGAATCTACTTAAACTAATGAATGTTTGAAATTTCTTAATATCTTTTGATGATTTGCTATGTATCAATAGGATATTTCAAGGCTTCGTTGATCATCTTTTTTTAGACTACATCTATTTTATTTAAAAATTCTTCTTTGAGTTGGTGAAAGAAGTCTGTAATTTGCTTGATATAGTCAAGTGAAGATTAATTGGAAGTAAGATCAATGAGATCTGATATGATTTGATAGTTGTTGACTGGTGGCCACTTTGGGATGATATTAGTGTCTGCTTCTTAAATAATCTAATCGATCATAAGATAGTTGATAGATTTAAATTGAAGATCGTGATTAAAACAGGAGGAGCAGTAAAAGAGAGGTTTAGAGGAAGTAGGTTGTGTTAGAACATCATTTACTTAAATAAATTGAAGGTTTTTATTTGGATGCTTATTGCATTTAAGATTTTAGATGGTAACTTTATCCATATAAAGATTAGAGTTAGAAGAGATATTTTTAATGTATTTTTTATTATATTTTGATAGTTTATTAGATTTTTCTTTGAATTTTAGAAATTAAAAAGAAAGAAATTTTTTTGAGGATCTTATAAGAAGATGTTAATATTCTAATAGATTATAAATTATAGCCATTATCACATAAATATTCCTCTGTTAGGAAATAAAAATATAATATTAGAACAATAAATATTATTTAATAAAATTAAAAATAATTTAATAGAAATAAAAAAAGTTTTGAAAAGTGTTTTCCTTTTAAAAGAAAAAAATAAAAATGTTTAATTTAATAAAATTTTTAAAAAAAAAAAATAAATATATCTACCTAATATCATATTATTATTATATATATAATTTAATTCAATTTATAAACTCATTCACTATTTTTACATCCATTAAAATTAATTTGCTTCCTTGTTAATAAATTCCAAGATAAAATCTTAGATCATCAAATTATGTAAGCTTCTCTTTATATTCATCCTGTAATCCTAGCTTATACTCATAATTAGGATAATCTAACACTTCTAAAATCTATTCTTTCAAGCACAATCTTAGTTCTATCATATTCTCTCCACTTGTCTTAAATCCTGCTCCCTTTAATTATTTATCTATACCATAACCTCCACATTTAATTACAGATTGATTATTTTTCTATAAGTAACGACTTAAATACTCTGAATATCCTACATTTTAATCAGCATTTGAATTTCTCATTAGACCTATCATAAATAATTAACCTTAATTTAGACTTTCAACTTTTATCCTAAAAATATACTTCTAATCTTTTTATAAATTTGTATTTGATATACAATTCATCCAAGCATTATTATTTAATTTTTCAATTTCATAATAACCATTTTCTTTTTTATTTACCGCACAATTTCTCTACCCATCCTTCCACTAAGTTGCAAACAATTTTAGATCTAAATTTGGTAAACTTTCCTCATACAAAGCATTCAATTATTTATCTTTCAAATTTCTGAAGAAATCAAATTTATTTTTGTCAGTAAAAGTATTAGTGAAATTAATCTATTTTAAGAAAGGTTTTACGTCAACTAAGAACTTTTCAAACTATTATATGCATTCTTCTCTCAAGAAACTCATTTTAGAATCTATTATTTAAGTCATTTATTTGATTTCTAAACTATCCTTTACTTCCTATTCATATTTCTATTCCCCTCTTGACAAAGCTATTGAATGATTAACATATTCTTCTATCAAATTTATTTTTTCCTCACTAATCTTTGAAAAGTCAATTTATTTTTTATTCTCCTTAAAAACTGCTGTGTTGAAAGTAAACTATTTAAGTAGAGGATTTATTCTTTAAAGATTTTCACTTAGCTTGCTTAAGAATTAGTCAGAGCAAAAGTTTGATTTATTAGAAACAAGCTTCATGATTAAGTCAGATGTTAGTTTTAAATCTCCAATTTAATTACTTTGATTTATAATGTTAGTTTCCTAATGATTTCTAGTGTTATTATGATTTGCAATACTAACCTCAGGAATATCTAAATTGAAGAAAGAAATTTGGTCAATAAAAGTAAATAATTACTATTTAAGAATGTGAGGAACTTCCATGTTAAAATTCTTTTGCAATTAATTTGCTTAGGTAAGTAGACTTTACAACAATTCAGTGTTTTTATCTTTTTGAGACTCCATTTGTGAGATAAATTCTTTACATATTGTTGAATGATCTTTGAGGTTATTTGGTTATTCATTGTTAAGAATCTACTTAAATTAAAGAATGTTTGAAATTTCTTAATATCTTTTGATGATTTGCTATGTATCAATAGGATATTTCAAGGTTTCATTAATCATCTTTTTTTAGATGACATCTATTTTATTTAAAAATTCTTCTTTGAGTTGATGAAAGAAGTCTGTAATTTGTTTGACATAGTCAAGTGAAGATTAATTGGAAGTAAGATCAATGAGATCTGAGATGACTTGATAGTTGTTGACTGGTGGCCATTTTGGGATGATATTAGTGTCTGCTTCTTAAAAAATCTGATCTATCATTAGATAGTTGATAGATTTAAAGTGAAGATCGTGATTAAAACAGGAAGAGCAGTAAAATAGAGGTTTAGTGGAAGTAGGTTGTGTTAGGACATCATTTACTTAAATAAATTGAAGATTTTTATTTGGATGCTTATTGCATTTTAGATTTTAGATGGTAATTTTATCCATTTATAAGATTAGAGTGAGAAGATATATTTTAAATGTATTTTTGATTATATTTTGATATTTAATTAGAGTTTTCTTTGAATTTTAGAAATTAAAATGAAAGTTGCATATCTAAATACTTTATAAAAAGATGTTAAATATTCTAATAGATAACAAATTAGGACTCTTTATTTTGAGAATTTTAGTGATATCTTAGAAAGTTGTTAGATTAAAATTAATAAATATAATATAATATTCATAAGAAACATTATTTACTATCAAATTATAAATACTTTTAGAACAAAATATGCTCAATAATTTAAAAAATTTTTAAATATGAAAAGAAATATTCTATCAAATATCATACTATTATTAATATATATAAAATTTAATTCAATATACAAACTCATTCACTATTTTTACATCCATTAAAATTAATTTGCTTCCTTAAAAATAAGTACCAAGATAAAATCTTAGATCATCAAATTATGTAAGCTTCTCTTTATATTTATCCTGTAATCCTAGCTTATACTCATAATTAGGATAATCTAACACTTCTAAAATCTAATCTTTCAAGCACAATCTTAGTTCTATCATATTCTCTCCACTTGTCTTAAATCCTGCTCCCTTTAATTATTTATCTATACCCAAATCTCCACATTTAATTACAGATTGATTATTTTTCTATAAGCGACAACTTAAATACTCTGAATATCCTACATTTTAATCAGCATTTGAATTTCTCATTAGACCTATCATAAAACATTGAGTCACATTTAGACTTTCAACTTTTATCCTAAAAATATACTTCTAATCTTTTTATAAATTTGTATTTGATATAAAATTCACCCAATCACTATTATTTAATTTTCAATTTCATAATAACCATTTTCTTTTTTATTTACCACACTATCTCTCTACCCATTCTAATACTAAGTTGCAAACAATTTTAGATCTAAATTTGGTAAACTTTCCTCATATAAAGCATAATAAAATCTTTTATCTTTCAAATTTCTGAAGAAATCAAATTTATTTTTGTCAGTAAAAGTATTAGTGAAATTAATCTATTTTAAGAAAGGTTTTACATCAACTAAGAACTTTTCAAACTATTATATGAATTCTTACCTCAAGAAACTCATTTTAGAATCTACAATTTAAGTCATTTATTTTATTTCTAAACTATCCTTTACTTCCTATTCATATTACTATTCCCCTCTTGACAAAGCTATTGAATGCTTAACATATTCTTCTATCAAATTTATTTTTTCCTCGCTAATCTTGGAAAAGTCAATTTATACTTTATTCTCCTTGAAAACTGCTGTGTTGAAAGTAAACTATTTAAGTAGAGGATTTATTCTTTAAAGACTCTCACTTAACTTGTTTAAGAATTAGTCAGAGCAAAAGTTTGATTTATTAGAAACAAGCTTCATGATTAAGTCAGATGTTAGTTTTAAATCTACAATTTAATTACTTTGATTTATTATATTAGTTTCCTAGTGATTTCTAGTGTTATTATGATTTGCACTACTAACTTCAGGAATATCTAAATTGAAGAAAGAAATGTGGTCAATAAAAGTAAACAATTACTATTTAATGATCTGAGGATATTCCATGTTGAAATTTGTTTTTAATTAATTTGCTTAGGTAAGTAGACTTTACAACAATTCAGTGTTTTTATCTTTTTGAGACTCCATTTGTGAGATAAATTCTTTACATAGTGTTGAATGATCTTGGAGGTTATTTGGCTATTAGTTGTTAAGAATCTACTTAAACTAATGAATGTTTGAAATTTCTTAATATCTTTTGATGATTTGCTATGTATCAATAGGATATTTTAAGGCTTCATTGATAGTCTTTTTTTAGATGACTTCTATTTTATTTAAAAACTCTTCTTTGAGTTGATGAAAGAAATCTGTAATTTGCTTGACATAGTCAAGTGAAGATTAATTAGAAGTAAGATCGATGAGATCTGAGATGACTTGATAGTTGTTGACTGGTGGCCATTTTGGGATGATATTAGTGTCTGCCTCTTAAAAAATCTGATCGATCATAATATAGTTGATAGATTTAAAGTGAAGATCGTGATTAAAACAGGAGGAGCAGTAAAAGAGAGGTTTAGAGGAAGTAGGTTGTGTTAGAACATCATTTACTTAAATAAATTGAAGGTTTTTATTTGGATGCTTATTGCATTTTAGATTTTAGGTGGTAATTCTATCCATTTATAAGATTAGAGTGAAAAGATATTTTTTCAATATATTTTTGATTATTTTTAGAAGGTTAATTTGAGTTTTCTTTGAATTTTATAAATTAAAAAGAAGATAATTTTTTGAGTACCATTTAAGAAGATATTAAATATTCTAATAGATAATAAATTAGGCCTATATTTTTTCAGAATTTTGGTTATATCTTATAATGTTGCTATATTAAAGTAAATTCATTATAATAGAATTTTCATAAAAAACATAATTTACTTTCAAATTATAAATATAGTTAGAAAAAAATTTTCTTATTTTTTTGAATAAAACATAAATCTTAAAATGATCCTTTATTTTTCTTAATATTAATTTTCCATAGGAGAAAAAGTTACTTCCTTTTAGTAAAAAATAGTTTTTAACAAATTTGAGCACATTTAGATTAAGTCACAGAGTATATATACAATACTCACAGAGAGATATTTTGTGTATTTATTTCAAAAAAAAAAACAAGATAAATTATTTTTATTAAATCAAAAAATTAAATTTCGCTTATTGTAAATCGAAATGGCATTTTACTCTATATAAAATATAAATATAATTTAATTCAAATTATAAACTCATTCACTATTTTTACATCCATTAAAATTAATTTGCTTCCTTAAAAATAAGTACCAATATAAAATCTTAGATCATCAAATTATGTAAGCTTCTCTTTATATTAATCCTGTAATCCTAGCTTATACTCATAATTAGGATAATCTAACACTTCTAAAATCTACTCTTTCAAGCACAATCTTAGTTCTATCATATTCTCTCCACTTGTCTTAAATCCTGCTCCCTTTAATTATTTATCAATACCATTACTTCCAGATTTAATTACAGATTGATTATTTTTCTCTAAGTAACAACTTAAATAGTCATTATATCCTAAATTTTAATAAGCATTTGAATTTCTCATTAGACCTATCATAAAACATTGAGTCACATTTAGACTTTCAACTTTTATCCTAAAAATGTACTTCTAATCTTTTTATAAATTTGTATTTGATATACAATTCACCCAACTAGTATTATTTAATTTTTCAATTTCATAATAACCATTTTCTTTTTTATTTACCACACTATCTCTCTACCCATTCTAATACTAAGTTGCAAACAATTTTAGATCTGAAATGAATTAAATTTCATCAAATAAAACACCCAATTATTTATCTTTCAAATTTATATTTCTGATGAAATCAAATTTATTTTTGTCAGTAAAACTATTAGTGAAATTAATCTATTTTAAGAAAGGTTTTACATCAACTAAGAACTTTTCAAATTATTATATGAATTCTTCTCTCAAGAAACTCATTTTAGAATCTACAATTTAAGTCATTTATTTTATTTCTAAACTATCCTTTACTTCCTATTCATATTACTATTCCCCTCTTGACAAAGCAATTGAATGCTTTACATATTCTTCTATCAAATTTATTTTTTCCTCACTAATCTAGGAAAAATCAATTTGTTCTTTGTTCTCCTTGAAAACTGCTGTGTTGAAAGTAAACTATTTAAGTAGAGGGTTTATTCTTTAAAGAATCTCACTTAGCTTGTTTAAGAATTAGTCAGAGCAAAAGTTTGATTTATTAGAAACAAGCTTCATGATTAAGTCAGATGTTAGTTTTAAATCTACAATTTAATTACTTTGATTTATAATGTTAGTTTCCTAATGATTTCTAGTGTTATTATGATTTGTACTACTAACTTCAGGAATATTTAAATTGAAGAAAGAAATGTGATCAATAAAAGTAAATAATTATTATTTAATGATGTGAGGATATTCCATGTTGAAATTTGTTTTTAATTAATTTGCTTAGGAAAGTAGACTTTACAATAATTCAGTGTTTTTATCTTTTTGAGACTCCATTTTTGAGATAAATTCTTTACAGAGAGTTGAATGATCTTAGAGGTTATTTAGTTATTCGTTGTTAAGAATCTACTTAAACTAAAGAATATTTGAAATTTCTTAATATCTTTTGATGATTTGTTGTGTATCAATAGGATATTTCAAAGCTTCGTTGATAGTCTATTTTTAGATGATATCTATTTTATTTAAAAACTCTTCTTTGAATTAATTAAAGAAGTCTGTAATTTGCTTGACATAGTCAAGTGAAGATTAATTGGAAGTAAGATCGATGAGGTCTGAGATGATTTGATAGTTGTTGACTGGTGGCCATTTTGGGATGATGTTAGTGTCTGCTTCTTAAAAAATCTGATCAATCATAAGATAGTTGATAGATTTAAAGTGAAGATCGTGATTAAAACAGGAAGAGCAGTAAAAGAGAGGTTTAGTGGAAACAGGTTGTGTTAGGACATCATTTACTTAAATAAATTGGAGGTTTTTATTTGGATGCTTATTGCATTTAAGATTTTAGATGGTAATTTTATCCATTTATTAGATTAGAATGAGAGGAGAGACTTTCAATATGTTTTTGATTATTTTTTAGTAATTAATTTGAGTTTTCTTTGAATTTTATAAGTTAAAAAGAAAGATACTTCATTGAGTACTTTATAAAAATGTTAAATATTCTAATAGATAATAAATTAGGATTTAATATTTTCAGAATTGATTATATCTTATTATGTTTTTAAATTAAAAATAATTAATAATAATATATTATTGATAAGAAACATAATTAACTTTCAAATTATAAAAATTTTGAGGACAAAATATGTTTATTTTATAATTTAAAAATTTTTAAATATGAAAGGAAATATTCTATCAAATATCATACTATTATTAATATATATAAAATTTAATTCAATTTATAAACTCATTCACTATTTTTACATCCATTAAAATTAATTTGCTTCCTAAATTCCAAATACCAAGATAAAATCTTAGATCATCAAATTATGTAAGCTTCTCTTTATATTAATCCTGTAATCCTAGCTTATATTCATAATTAGGATAATCTAACACTTCTAAAATCTACTCTTTCAAGCACAATCTTAGTTCTATCATATTCTCTCCACTTGTCTTAAATCCTGCTCCCTTTAATTATTTATCAATACCATAACCTCCATGTTTAATTACAGATTGATTATTTTTCTATAAGTAACAACTTAAACGCTCATCATATCCTACACTTTTATCAGCATTTGAATTTCTCATTAGACCTATCATAAAAAAATGATCTTCTTTTAGACTTTCAACTTTTATCCTAAAAATATACTTCTAATCTTTTTATAAATTTGTATTTGATATAAAATTCACCCACCAATCACTCTTATTTAATATTTCAATTTCATAATAACCATTTTCTTTTTTATTTACCACACTATTTCTCTACCCATCCTTCCACTAAGTTGCAAACAATTTGAGATCTAAATTAGGTAAACTTTCCTAAAATAAAGCCTTCAATTTGTTATCTTCTAAATTTATATTTCTGAAGTAATCAAATTTATTTTTGTCAGTAAAACTATTAGTGAAATTAATCTATTTTAAGAAAGGTTTTACATCAACTAAGAACTTTTCAAATTATTATACAAATTCTTACCTCAAGAAACTCATTTTAGAATCTATAATTTAAGTCATTTATTTGATTTCTAAACTATCCTTTACTTCTTATTCAAATTATTATTCCCCTCTTGACAAAGCTATTGAATGCTTAACATATTCTTCTATCAAATTTATTTTTTCCTCACTAATCTTGGAAAAATCAATTTGTTCTTTGTTCTCCTTGAAAACTGCTGTGTTGAAAGTAAACTATTTAAGTAGAGGGTTTATTCTTTAAAGACTCTCACTTAGCTTATTTAAGAATTAGTCAGAGCAAAAGTTTGATTTATTAGAAACAAGCTTCATGATTAAGTCAGATGTTAGTTTTAAATCTCCAAAATTACTTTGATTTATAATGTTAGTTTCCTAATGATTTCCAGTGTTATTATGATTTGTACTACTAACTTCAGGAATACCTAAATTGAAGAAAGAAATGTTATCAATAAAAGTAAATAATTATTATTTAATGATCTGAGGATATTCCATGTTGAAATTTGTTTTTAATTAATTTGCTTAGGTAAGTAGACTTTACAATAATTCAGTGTTTTTATCTTTTTGAGACTCCATTTATGAGATAAATTCTTTACAAAGAGTTGAATGATCTTGAAGGTTATTTGATTATTCGTTGTTAAGAATCTACTTAAACTAAAGAATGTTTGAAATTTCCTAATATCTTTTGATGATTTGTTGTGTATCAATAGGA